ATTCTGGTAATGTAGAATGAGTAATCATACTCTTTTCAATGTCCTTAAGCATTCTATTTCGTCTTTCTGCAACATCATTCATAGTGAGCGTACCCAACATAGTGTACTATGAGACGATATTGCATTCCTCTAGGAATTTAGCAAACGATCATGGACGTTATTCACCTGAACCATCATATCTACCATATTATTCACCACCACGATCAACTTTAGTTTTATAGTTTTTTGAATACATCCTTTTGCTTTTACCGAGTTGGTTTTCAACTTTAGCTTTATAATTGTTGAATACATCCAACAAATGTGATTTTTCATGAATGAGATGTATATATAGACATATTTTGAAAAGTCGTCTATGAATGAGATATATATAGACACATATGTTCTTTTCGTGCTATTCCTTGAAGAGTTTTTTCTGAATATTTGCAAGTAATCCTAACGCTTTATGTAGGTCTTCCAATATATCTCCAAGATGGTTGAAAATAATCATTTTACAAATTTAGGAGAATGATTGACTTGAAGTTTCGAATTTGATTAATGTTTTCTATATAAGCAACAATGTCTTCTTGAATTCTCTTTGAATAATAAGGGAAAGTTGTTCTAAAGGAGCATCATCCTCATTTCTAAAGGAAATTTTAAGTTGATTTCTACCATTCGCCTTTGAAATTCTTTGAGCACTTTTGGATTATTTTTTTCAAGTCTGCATGTAAATTGAAAGAAAGTAGTGCGTACTCCCTAACATGTGGAAAATTGATCATGGACTTTCGACTATGTGAAATACCCTTGCCTTTGGAACAAAGGGATGACATGTAGATTTCTTGGTAAGTTCTTAAATTTTTAAAAAAACAGAAAATATTGTGAACATTTTTGCCCAATGAGAAAGTGGGTAAAATCATTCAAGACAAAAATGTGCATATTGAACAATTTTGAGGTTCTTTCACGGAGATAAATGAATCTGCGATATTCCTTTGTCTAGATACCTTACAGGATTCTAGAATCTAAAGGTACCGTCAGCAATGTTTTAAATCCCTTTAACGTGGCACAATTTGTTTCTCTTCGAGTTTCTTCTTGTAATTACTATTTTTTGTTGTTAATCTCGCATCTTCTGAGATTCTAACATCAATTTTATATTATGCTCATTTTTTTTATTTAGATAAAAATCTAATTTTATATATGGTTAAAATTTATTATTAATTTTCGAAGTATTCCCACTTACTAAAATCTTGAATTTGGGCATGTGCTAAACGAAAAGGTCTTCTTTGTGATTGAATTGGACCTTGGAAGAAAAATATGCCGAAATATTGTCATTGAATTGTCCAAGGAAATTGATCAAACCTATGTTTAAGCCCCATTTCTCATTGAAATTGAGTTTTGTAATAGTGAATTTTTGGAGAATGTCTGGTTAAAAAGTGAGATTTTATTGATTTACGTGTAAAATATTTTATTGAGAGAATGTGTTATCAAAATGAGTTTGAAAAAAAAATGAATTTTAGATTATGGGGGATCAAACAACGGCTAAGTTTTCAAATCTCATGCATCCTTGTTGCTATCTAATTTGGAAAAATTTAGAACAAATAATAAATGAGTGCTCTTCTCTATTGTCTGGGCTCTCACATCGTCCGATCCGAGGACTCTAGGAGAATTTTTATATATGGTCATTTAAATGTATTTTTGTAAAAAAAAAATGTAAATAACCATTAAGGGTTTGAAATATTTTTATTTTTTATTTTTCTAGATTTATTTTTCAGAATTTTAGAATTTATTTTTTTAAATTCTTTATTTTTTAGAATTTAATTTTTAAAATTTCATATATTTTATTTTTAAAAATTTTATATAAATAAAATTTTATTTAAGCAATTTTATGTTTTGAGTATTCTCAAAGTTTTCACTGATAACATTCAAAACATCAAAATGCATTTTGAGTTGGGAAAATTACTCCAAACTCTATCTCTAAAGTTTCAATTTCAAAAATCAAATCTTAATAACTTTTCCTCAATAATTAGGTGATAATTCATCTTTTAAATATTACTAATAATATTATAAAATGAAATTTAATCTACATATTGACCCCCTCCCCACACGTTCATGCTAACCCAATTTCATTTCCAAATCCTAATCATATTTCCTTAACTTTTCTTCCTCTACTCTCTTCATTCTCTCTCTATACATCCTCTCATTTCTCTTTGTCACAGACAACCACGGGTGATACCATCGCCACCATTAGCGGCACTCACGATGTCACCACCGTAGTAACGTTGCTTTGAAGCAACCAGTGTCTTTGTGAAGGCAATTCGTGGCGCTGTGACCGAAGAGATGTCGCTGTGTAGCAGCGCCTCTATCTTTGTATCTCTTCATCGCTATGTTGCCTCTGTCTTGGTTGATTGTGATTCATTTGATAATTTGTGATCGAGACATAAGTTGTAATCTAGAAAATAGTTGTGACTAGTAAATTTGATAATTTGTGATAGAGAATCAAGTTGTGACTCATTACTTTAATAATATGTGATCAAGAAAATAATTTTGACCAATTAATTTGATAATCGATGACCGACAAGAAGTTATGGCCAATTAATTTGAAAATTTGTGATCGATGATAAATAAATTGTGACTTATGAAATATGTTTTTTGTGACCAAAAAGTCGCGATCAATTAATTTAATAATTTGTGACCGATAAAAAATGTTTCAAACTAAAAATTTGTGATTTATGATTGTGACTAGTATAATCGTGACCATAAATTGTATGTCATTATAAATTTAACCTATTTAATAAATAAAAACTATTTAATTACCTATTTATCTAATACCACCTGATTTTTAAAAGAAATTTACAAGTTTGTCAAGTTTGAAAATGTTTCTTTAAATGTCTGTAGTTGTGTATTTTTTTCCTTTTGAGTTTTATATAGAGCCCATTTGAGTCTCATTTTTTGTCCAAAATGCATTTGAAATAGTATTTGATGGAGAATACGTGATTAAAAAATAAAAACAAATTGAGTTTACGTGTAATATTATTTTATTGAAAATGTGTGATTGAAAATAAGAGGGAGAAAAATGTATTTTGAATATAATGGAAACCAAATAAGGACTATAAATTTAACCCTATTTCAAAAGTATTAGACCAAACGAGTTTTTGAGTGTTTTGGAAAACTGAAAATTGTAAACATCTTGAAAACTAAAAAACAAATGCACCCATAGTTTTTCTAGTTATGTTCAAAGAATAGAAATTAGCAAGTGTGAGAGTATTTTTCCTACAATACTTTGAGAGGTTTGGTGAGTGAGAATTCTCTATGATAGTAGACTTTTTCATATAGCAAAACGTTTCGACGGTTATAGTTTTTCTCTTTTTTTTATATATTTTCTCTCTTTATTTTTCTCTAAACCAAAATTATGTGGGCAAATTAAAAGGTCGCGGTCTCAATTTTTAAAAGATAATACATAATATCAAAGAATACTTCGACATTGTGTCGAGTACTTGAAATCACATTTTGCATTGTCTCACATAGAAGGGGATGTATTTGGTCTATTCTTTTAAATAAGTGATGGGTTTTTATGAAATTCGTGAATTTATTGAAATCACACGTTAGACATTGTCTCTAATGTCCAATATGATCAATCGGTATATTTAAAAATAACATATTAGTCTTTTTTATAATATCTTATAAAATATAATTACAATTTGCTATTTTCAACTTGTCGACTCGTGTACGAGCCGACTCATTATAAGTGAGTAAAATAACAATTTGTAAGAAAATAAAAATTTGTTAGCCGGATCGACTCGTCCTACCGATACGAGTTCGCTGTCGGATAAAACGAGTTGACTCGCATTCGACTCATTCCATACCCCCTCAACCCACCCCATGACAGGCGTATGAGCCGATTCGGCTGGCTCCATTTAACACTTCTGACCAGAGCTCAACCGAGCTTGGGCCCGTCTCGGTTCATTTCACGGGGCGGACCACCGGGAAAGTAACTGGACAAGCCAGGGTTAACTCAAAATCCTGCCATTGCTCTGAAAATAATTAAACCCTAAAAATCTAAATACTATTCTCTCTCCGTCGGCGACGACTGATGCCACCGGTGGCGGTGGGGGCAAAACCACCGGAAAACACACAGATACTCGAGTACTCAGTAAAGATATTAGTAATCACAAAACTAAATAGTAAATTCCCTTCTCTCATCCTCTTAGTATTGAAATTAGAAGGAAAAAAAATCAGAGAAACATTGATAGAGGACATGGACCTGGACGACCTGTTGGTTAGCCCGATGCAGGGCCCATCTCGACCCGCCCGGTTCGCGCCCAAGGGCTCCAAGTTCAAACCCAAACCCAAAAGCGAACCATCTCAATCTGATTCAGTTGAATGGTTGCAAAAGCAATCTGATGGGGAACTCGATGCCAAACCCGAATATGTGAAAAACGGGGAAATGGATGTTGGAGTTGAAGTGAAGCCGGATGAAGAAAATGAAAAGGAAATTAAGGAAGAGATGATAGACGATTTGATGGAATCAGAAGAAGCGGGAGGTGAAGCTCCGGACTACGTTGTTCGAGAAATTGATGTGTATTTTGCTTCTACTATTGATCCCAATACTAGGGTAATCAAGCTTAGGCTTTTATTATTCGGTGAAGAGGCCATTTGCATATTTATTTTAAATAAATTTGCATACCGTTGATTTTAATTTTTGTATTTGTAGTTGTATGTGTTGCAATATCCATTGAGGCCGGTGTGGCGGCCATATGAATTGGAGGACAGATGTGAAGAGGTACACAATATTATGAAAACACGATTGGTGTTTTGTCTCATGATAAAAGAACCTGCATTCTGTTAATTTACAATTTAGAAATTTTGAGAATTTCTTGTTGATTATTCAGGTAAGGGCGAAGCCTGCAAGTTCAGAATTTGAAGTTGATTTGGCACTTAATGTCGATTCCAATAACTATGATCGTGATGCTGATCCTAAAGTGCAGATAACAAAGCAGGTTCAAGTTCCCCCCATTATATGCATTTATATTACCTGACTATAATATGCATTGGAGTCCATAAAGCCATGATGCTTCATTTAAAGGTTGCAAAGCTGACTAAATCAAAGATTGGGGAGAGGTAAAGTTTAACTAGACAATCAGAACAGCATCTTAACGTTGACAGAAAGGTGCTTCAGATGGATTCATGGAAACAAATTTTTGACAATGCTTACCCTCCTATTGTTTTCTGTACTATTAACTTTCTAATTTTGCAACTTAGTTGTGTTACTCATTGCTTTATTAAAGGTGGTAAAATATGCATCATCTTTTTGTTTGTGATCTCTTGGTAGACTCTTGCTTCATCATGGAAACCACCTTGCACAAGTGGGTATGCTGTTGGGGTTCTAAGAGGAAATAAGGCAAGTTCTATGGTCTCTGAGTACTCACTTTATTTGCATTTCTAATTCTCTCTGTACAGGAATAATTTGCTGTAAGGTTCCTTTCCAAATCTGACTGAGTTCTTACAACTGCTCCCTTTCATTTTCATGCAGTTGCACCTCAATCCTATTCATTCGGTTGTGCAGCTCCGACCATCAATGCATCGACTCAAGCCCAGGGATTCTAAAAATAAGAAAATTGAAACTGGTAATGGTGAAGGTGCTGTTAAGGTGGAAGATCCCAAGGAAGAAAAACCTTTCGAGGCATCAAAGAAGCAGGTTGTTTTTCCCTTTTGTTGACTTGCTTGTTGCTAAATTTATTTTTTGCCAGGTTATATCCGTTTCAGTCTCATTGATTCTTTCAATTGGATGCTAAGAACAACTATTTTTTGGATGTGTAGGAGATGACTGGAAAAGCTATCTAGGCCCTTGCAAGGCCATCCAATCCATATTTGCACTCCATTTTCATTAAAATATGCCTAGATAATACCTTTATAAAATTCAAGATAGATCGGAAATGCGCTTAATTGGAGTTATATAAATGTCCATACCATTTCATGTCCTTGCGTCAAGTTTACTTTGCATGCAGTAGTTTTTAGTCTCTTTTCTACTTATTATCCTTTTTTGGTTTTAATTTATATCCTGATATGCTTAGTACCTTTGCAGACCAAGCCATCTGGCCAGAACAAGGATAGTGGAGAGGTACACACTTAGTTCATCTGTTTGCCCAATTTGTACGACAGCAATTAATATCATGTTGTTGCTATTCCAATTAACTTGATTTATAGCAATGAGAACACAATTCTTGTATTTCTTTGGTTGTGTATACCATAGATAGATAGAGGATGAATAAATGATTTTACCTAGAGGATTCACGTCTGTGTAGTTAAGCTGCAGTTCAATATTTATTATTCATTCCTTTATGTGACTATATGAGTTAAGTCATAAAAGTGTTGCTGTATAAAACACTTAGATGACCTTTCAGTATTTACATTATATGTTAATACACAACAGTGATGTTTATTGTTACTTGGATTTATTTATTTATTTATTTGTTTGCAAAGTGGCACTATTATGTTATTTTGTTGCAGTACTTGTTGTATATTAGTTTGGTGAGAAGGGAACAGAACCATCCATAGAATTGCAAAATTAATCTAAGCTTTCTCTTTTTCCGAGGAATTGTAAGCTTATTTTGCCAAAGGAAGAGTATACTTTGGAACATCACATAAGTGCCTGTTATAGTCATTTGTGTCCAATACATGATAATGTGGTGGCATAACAACCTCTAAAGTCTAGGCGCATCTTCCAATGCTAGTGACAGTCTATTTATACCTACTAATCATACTATGCATTAATTTATGCTTGGATTTAATTCATATAATTATTCTTTAATATATTTGTTAATGACTTGTCATGTTTGACAAGTTATTTGGTTATGAAATCAAGTTCCTTCGCTGAAGAAGTGGAATTAAGAGTCTTATACATGTCTAAGGGGCTGTTTGATAAAGCTAAAAGTCGATAAAATGTATTAGGGCTGGACATTCCTGAACTGAACCCGAATTTTCGGCTATTTAGTAAGTGGAACCGTCGAGTCCAAATTCTATTATGGAACTATTCGGGTTTGGTTCTATTCGGTTCCCAATTTTCGTGCAGAAGTGATTTTTTTTTTAATATTTACAACAACACTACATTAATTTGACTATGATATATTCAATCTTAGCTCTTACAAAATAATGTAGTCCAATCTCGTGATGTCTTTTGCGTATCTCTTTGTTGGGTTCTTCGTAAATTTGACTGTTAAAATTACAAGAAGAGAAAGATAACAAATTCACAATAATAGAACGACAGAAACGAAATTACGATAAAATAAGAGATTTTGGTAAAATTTAGATCAATTTGATTAAGTTGGGCTTGATTGGAAATTGAAAATAGTAAAATCATATTTTGGGTTTTGGCTAAATTAATTAGTTAGCAAATTCATTTAGAAAAAATAAAATAATTTGACTTATTTAAGATAAAAAATTAGGGTTCTTCGGTTTTTGGTCTAGAATCGAAAACCGAAACCGTTAGTTTTCGATTCACATATCTGTTCGGGTATTTAACTTAAGAAAAACTGCTTGATTCAGTTTAGTTTGGTTTCGGTCCGGTCCGGTCCGGTCCGGTTTGCTTTGGGAGTTTTGTCTAGTCCTAAAATGTGTGGTTAAAATTGAGGTTTGACGAGTTAAAAATTTGCTAATTTTTTGCAAATTTTTATCAACAAGCATTAATTTTCTTTTCCCAAGCTGAGGCATCAAATGAAATAGTGAATTTACAATACTCATTTTCTTTGTTATCGTATTGTTAGAATGTTGTGGCTATTTGTGTGTTTTAGGGGGATGTAAAATAACCTTCAGTTGTCGCAAACTTTTCATCAATCTTCTAGGCTTGGGGCAAAGATCCATGAAATGGAGCGAATTGTCTTTCATTCCTGCTAGTTTGACTTTACCATGTATTTGTATTTTTATTTTCTTCCCACTGTTCTCTCTTTCTTTTTAGGATTGGGTTCCTCTCAAATACCATAATGCAAGGAGCGTCATTGCGGATAGATATCTACAAAAGATGGCGGCACAAGAAAGTTCGCCTATTAATTTTTCTATGAGCTCGTATGCATTTTATAACGCAATTTCCACAAAGATTATGGAAGCTCCTTTGGATTTGCTATGTTGGAATCTGTATGTGTTGGTAATTCATTTCTTTTCTGTTATTCCAATTTAAAGGTGTGATTATCTGAATAGATTGTGTCCTGGCGCCTCTAATGAGAGATCCAGATCTAAAGTTCCTACAAGAAGGTATCTCGCTACCTTTTTGATAAATTTTCTCTGCTAGTGATGAATACTGTACAATAATGAGATCATTTCCAATTAAAAGATATCTTTTGAATAGTTTCAGATACATCAGAAACTTCCGTTTGTTGTTCTTCATCTTGTTTCTAGTAATTTCTTTGCTATGATCTTAAATTTTTTTTTTTTTCATTGATATGTTACTATGCACAATAATTCCGAAGTAAACCTATTGTAAATGTATGGATCAGAAATAAGTCGGAAAGTTCTCTGGGTACATGATGTGACTTTATATTCAATTTCTCATGACTATTGTGTTTTTATAAAGATTTCTTTTTGCTCTTAATAGATTACTGATATTCAGAATCGCAATGTAGCACTGATAATATCATTAGATGGTAGTTTTGTGCTTGTATGGTAGTATTTCTCAGGGTCCATGGACATTTTCATTTTTTTGCTTCACCCCATTTTTGAATTACTTTTTCTAGTTGAACTTGTATCCTGTCCATGAAGTCAATTCTCTTATTATCCATTTGCTACTGCCATAATATTGACTTCTATTGGATCGTTGTTAACATGCCTTTGCTTTCCCATAGGAAACATTCGTGTACTTTTCCTCTGCATGAAACTTGCAATTGTCTTTACACCTGTATATGGGTTATACATCTTCTATTTGTAATGTGACGTTTCAGGTTTTTGATGACTTTACCACTAAAAGAACGATGCAAAACTTGGCTTCTTGAGGTCTGTTGCTAGTTACTTTGATCTCAAAGATGTATTTTAAGGATTTCCTTTCAGTCATTCCTTACATGTATAACATGAATTAATCAGCAATCTCAGATATTTATTGCAATTGATATATGAAGTTGATGGAACAGGGTTCTCCAATTCATCGATTTGACGCTCTAAAGCACCTAGCTCCAGATGAACCTGTTGAAGAAGTTTTGGAAGTCCTGCAGGAATATGCTCGATTAGTCCAAGGAATGTGGGTTCCAAAAAGTTCGCTGGTATATGGAACAGATTCAGGAATTGAAGTTTTAGCCAGGGACTACGTTCTTCTTTTGTTTAGCAAGAATCCACTAGTTAATGATTCACAAATACCTCAACGTCCTCAACTTGCTAAAGCAATGAAAGATGTCCTAAATATATTAGCTGTTGCGAGACCCTCCTTTAGTGATTGGAAACTCAGAGAGCTTCCTGATTGCAGATTCATAAAACTCAATCCTACTGTTGCAAAGCAACAAGAAGAAGAATGGGAATCCTTGGAAAAGAAGATAAATGATCTTCTTTTTGGAGCAAGAAATGGAACTGGTATGAAAGATTCGTCAAAGTCTAATGTCATAAACAATCCGGCCACGTCAACAAGTTCCAGTGAAGTAACTCTGAAAACTCTGGATGGGGTGTTCTCAAGGATGCCAATGCCAGAAGAGACTCGAGAAGCTTTAATGAAGGCCCTTCAGAAACTTTTCAAAAGCATCAAGGTTTGCAGGTGAGATCATTTTATTACATCAAGTCCTTATTTTCAAATAGTAGTTATATGTGGTCATATTTGTGATGAAGATATTTAGTAGCCACTGTTTGTTGTAGATTAAAATCAGATTTTTAGTAGATTTTGATAAAAGTTGCTGGAATGTGTGGTTGAAAAGTTGTGGGTCTCATGAAATGTGATTAAAATTAATTGTTGACTTTGACCTGTGAGTAAAATCAGATTTTAATTCGTACCAATTTTGTATCCTAAAGTACACAGAAGCTAATTGTTGGTAAACAGTTATTTTGCATGTGATTTGATTAATGTTTGACAATTTTTTCACACGCAATAGGGACTTTTTCATCCATGGCCTTTTCTGGCCCTGGTTCATTAAATTGAGACATGATATTGTTAGTGGAAGACTTGGGGAGATGGGTGGTCACGTAAATTAGTTCTCTGCTTGCACTTAGCATGGGATGCTAGTGGGATTACATTTTTGCATTAGCTGGGCTGGTGCAAATGACATGGTTTAACAAAATGCCAATAGACCATTACCATATTTAAACTTTTTTATTGTTATTTTTATATTATTTAGATTCTCAACAGAAAGATAAAGGAACTAGTTTGAATTTTCTTATTTAATCAAATTCATTCAAGCTAATATGCCCCTTAATCTAGCAAACCTAACTTCATCCTCAAGAGTGTTAGGGTTTCCCTGTGGAAATTTAGTTTGATTGTCAACAGATGAAATTTTACTTGATGCTATGTATGCCAGTTTTCAACAAATTTGCCAGCGTTTGAGGGACTTGGCAGTTTCTGAGTCCACTCGTTCGAGGGGATTTGCCAAAGAGGCAGTTGCTGCAGCAAACAGCATCGGTGTTTTTCCTGATGAGCTTCAGGCTATCATTAGTCAATTTGCGTTTAATATTCATGGCGTTTATGTTCCAAAATCATCACCAGATCATCCACAATACGATCCATTCAGGTTAGACCTGCCTTCATTTATTTGGATCTAGAACATTGATATTTTTCTTTTACCAACTTATCTTTATAAGAAATGATCATCTTTTTATATTGTTCATTATTGATGTGGTTCTTTCCCTTCCAGGAAGGTTGTCATTGATCTTCTTATTGCTGAAGGACCAAATGCAAAGCTTAAAAAGGCTCCCATAGTCGAGGCTGCTAAGATGGAACTTAAAAGGGATATACCTCAGATTGAATATCAGAAGGTCTAGCTTACAATTACTTACGAATTACGATGAAATTGTATTAGGTGTTGAGATCAAATACTCTCTCCCTGACCCCTTTGAGGCAAATTTAATATTTCCTGAAAAACTCATAATTACGTTTTGATTAATTTTTGAGGCCTTTCAAAAGCAAAAACAAGATTGAGATTGTCACAGGAGATGATTGGGGATTACCACTCTCATTGTGTGGTCGGGAGGGATGGAGGGTGGTCCCCTAATGATCTTGCCTTTAATCTAGCATCTATATTACTTGCTTATCATGACAGCTTCCAATGTTTTTCCTTCCTATTAAATGATCTTAAGCATTGCACAACCTATGTCACCCACTTCTTTTAAATGAACAGTTAGGACGTAATCTAGCATTATGCTCAGTAGAAAGCTAAATGATGGAATTATGAAGCAGAGAAATATGTATAGTGAATAAACTTCTGAGAGCTGGTGAGGTAATGTGAGGGAAGATATATTATGCTCCTTAGAAATTTCCCCATGCATAAGCTCTTTTAAGTCCCTCAACAATTAAGAGTACTCTTAGTAACCACCCATCAGATTTTCTGAATCTCACGTAAATGTCTCAAGTCAGACCTCCTTGTGGGAAATTATATACATATGGTTCCCAAGAATACTGTCCTATAGTTTCTTGTCAGTTTCCTGAGCAGAACATTTGTTACTAGGATGAGAACAGAGATATTTAACTGGTCATGTTCCCTTTGTCCTTGGTACGTTCCAGCACTTAAGAAAAATGTTTGATTAACCTGCTGAGCCTCTTGCCCTTTTCCCTGTTACCAATGGTGGAAGCTTCAATGACTTATTTGTGAATAAATTGCTTGCTAATTTAGGTTTATGTACTCCCTTATGATCTGCAGGTTTTACAAGAACTATGTGTATCACAAGGTTCTGCATGGGTCGTTAAAAGTGGTGATGGAAATCCACGAAAGTAAAGTTCACGCAACCAAATCCTTGTTAGTCTATGAGGTATGAATAAGCATATAAACTATGAATTACGTAAATAGAAGAGTGAAAAAGCACACACCTCACCACAAGACTTGATGGAAAATCGCTAAATTGCATGAAGTTCTCAAGCTTCTTGTGTTCAAGAAAGAAAATCTCTGCTTATTTTGTTTACATAGAGCATTGTGATCTGTTGTGGTTTGTCCCAATTTGCCCTGAAGTGCCTTGGTGCTCGACTTATTCTGATGTCCGAGTTGTGCATTTTGAAAAAAGATTATTAACATCATTCGTTGAAGTTATATTTCAGTGCATGTCTTGTGCGAACATCAGTTTAAATCACCCTTGAATATTTGCCCAATCGATCCTCGTCGCATATTGGAATTTGAAAAGTTAATAGGTCTATCTAATGTACATGCAGATGAAGATATACACCGACTAAGGAATGTGTGATTACATATACATATTGTGTATACATAACAATTAAGATGGCTGTGGTACAAAAGTCGTTTGTTGAGGATGGCAGGCAACCTGTTTCTTTGGAAGCAGTAAGGGATGTGTTCTTGAGATCCCGTGTAGTTCTTTGAACATTCAACCTTCCAATGGAGGTAGGATGATTTAAAATATACGAAGGATACCAACTACATTGAGGATGAGTGTTCTGTAATAAGACACATTTAGCCCTTGTTTGAGTTCCTTTTTTCACATAAATGAATTTTGTAATATTGACTTTTTTTGGAGAATGTCTGATTAAAGAGGAGAAAATTTGAGTTTATGTGCAAATTATTGGGAGAATGTGATTAAAAATGAATTTTTGAATAATGGGCTCAAACAGGGGCTAATATATACGATTAGAATTAATATTAAATTTTATTAGATATATATGATTTCATGCTGGTACAGTATATCCAGGGTTCTTTTTTTCTTTTTTTCCTTTTTTCCCCCTTTGGATTGTGGGGACTGGTTGACGTTAGCATAAAGTCCACAAGATATGAGCAGTTTTACTTTTCAAATTGGCCATATTATTTTGTGTATCAATTATATACGAGTTTTTCATCCAGGGGGCTCTATACTGTGCATTTACCAAGTTGCATATTGGATTGGGGCTTACTACTTGGCTGTACTTGCTACAGATAATTTTTTTTATTTGCTACGAAACTGAGATGTCTGTAGCTGTTTGTTTGTGGAACAAGGTAATTGTTTGGCCTTATAGTCAGTACCCGTTGTTCATCCAAATAATTCTTATTTGATATTTGATGAAAATGGAAAAATTATAATGGCTCGCGAATGTATTGATTCTCTTAAATGAATTAAAGAACTAGAGTCTTACAGCCTGTGGTATTCAATTTACATATGTGCACCTGGCCCATGTACCCAAGTTGAAGTGATGTAGTAGACACGTCGTACTATCAAAACTTTCTTTCAAGTGCCTTTGCAAAATTAAACCTTGTATGTGGACTCTTTTTGCAGGAGCTAAACCATTATCATACTTCTTGCCAATTTATTTGTTCACTAACTGGAATACCATTTGGCCGGATTCAGATCAGGTCACCGGAGAATGATTGGCTATGTAGCATGATTATGTAAGCAGTGATGAGCTCACACCGCAGAATAAAACGTAGAAAGGCAGACAAAGAGAAAGACAATAGGAATCGAATTGGCTATGTAGCATGATTATGTATGCAGTGATGAGCTCACACCGCAGAATAAAACGTAGAAAGGCAGACAAAGAGAAAGACAATAGGTCTCGAAATAAAACTTCATTTACTTACATGGCAATTCGTTGTACAGGTAAATTAGTCTCTAAATCAAGTACCGGTGGGTCATTTTCTCATTTTGGCTATTGGTTGGCTGAGCATTATAAGACTTGTTAGATCGTGATTGTACATGTTCATTGTTTCTAACGGCCTCTCGGAAATTAATATATAGGGTGTCAATTTTATTCTGGCAAAATGGCATTTTCCATTTTTGAAAGTGTTTTGTTTGGTAGAAGAGCTTTTAGGAAAAAAAAAAAAAAAAAAAAAATTCAAAATTGACTTTGTTCAAGAAGTTTTTCTACGAGAAGTAAAGTTTTGCACAAGAGGTCCTGAGTATAAATTCAATCTCATTATTCAACCTAAATTACTACGTCACGAATATTTTATCATTATAATGATAAATAACATTACTCATTCAGTTAATTGAGTTAAGCGAGTATTAATTTGTTTGAGTCAATGTGATTTTTACAATAAGAAAGAACAAAAGTAGATTATTTTTATTTTAAGATAGATAAATTGATTTACTAGCTTACATATAGCTTTTCTAACCCTTAAAAAAACTAATGAGACATTTTTAGTCCGACAATAAGAGATTGTTTAAGAGAGCTAAAAAGCTGATTATGTGAAAAAGGAAGGGTCGATTTTACGAAATGAGCAGTTGGAAATTGTATAGTAATTACGAAGAAATTAATTGTTAACTTTGATTTTAGATTTTTAGCGTTCTTCTAACTTTTTCCAAATTAGTTGATGGTTTTGTTCGAACAACTCGACAAATACTCAAATTGAACATGGTGAAATTCCATCAACTCATAAAGGATGGCAATATCTCCCGATTCCGTTGGGGGTTTTCGGGTGGTGAGATAAGAATGGAGATTTTATTGCAATATTTCTTTATCTAATTAATTTTTAAATAAATAAAAAATAGGAGTCCAAGTGAGTTCGAGCTGGGCAACATGTTATCAATCCCTACCTCAATTTTATATGGGACGAGAAGGGATATGACCTATATTTTCTACCAAATAATGCGATCTAACATTAGTGTTGTTAGATCACCAGTTTAGATGGTTACATTTTATAGGTTCAATTAAATAAGATACGTGACTTTGCATTTAAATGAATATAATATTTAATATCATATAATTTTAGCTTGTGTTTTGACACCCATTTTGGGGAAAAATTAAATTCTGAAATAGTGATTGATAAAAGAATGTGTGATGAAAAAGTAAGGAGAATTTTTGGGTTTATGTGTAATATTATTTTATTGATTGAATGTGTGGTTGAAATGAAGAAAAAGCAACCAAAAAAAAAAAAAAAGAAATAAAATGGGTGTCAAACAAGGGCTTTAATTTGTATTTAGGCCATGTTTGTTCGAATTAAAATTGGATTTTAATCTAAACCAAAATCAAACAATCAATATCAACTACATCTTTCACGAGTCTCACAATTTTTCAACCACACATTTTAGTAGAAAATATGTTTTTCAATAGTGATTAATAGAAGAATGTGTGGTTAAAAAGTAAGGAGAATTTTTAGGTTTATGTGTAATGTTATTTTATTGATAAAATATGTGGTTGAAATGAAGAAAGAGAAAAAAAAAATGAAAATGAAAATGAAAATGAAAAAAAAAAATAGATGTCAAACGTGGTCTAAAAATTTAATTTTAATCCATACCAAACATCCACTTTATATAAGAGCTTTATATTTAAAGAGGCTCATTTTCTACACTGACACTTAAAAGTTGGCCTTTTCTTCTAATAATCACTCGAAACTAAGCTTTCCCCCTTCGTTGCTACACTCGATTATAAGCCCTAACGAATTTGCACTCTATTTCTTTCCTAAACCCTAGACAGTGCAGGGCCAAAATGTCGTCTTCCATCGCCCTCCGCCATGCCCGTCACCTCTGCACCACCACCGTAGCCGCTGCCGCTGCTACCGCAGCCAAACTGTCCGCGCCCTTGTCCATTTCCCAAACCAAAAGCAAACTAAGACACGAGTACGACCCAGACATGGCCCTTCAAATCTACTCCTCCTTTACTTCCTCCAATACCCATTCCTCCTCAGCCTCCTCTGTTCGCTACGCCCAGGAGTTCACCGTCCGTCGTCTTGCCAAATCCCACCGCTTCTCCGACATTGAATCATTTCTTGAGTCCCACAAAACACTTCCCCAAATTACTGAAGAAGCCTTCCTTGCCTCCCTCATTCGATCCTATGGTGTTGCGGGTATGTTCGAGAATGCCCTCAAAACGTTCGATGAAATGAATTCTTTGGGCACCCCTCGATCATCACTCTCCTTCAATGCTCTCCTTACTGCTTGTGTACACTCCAAATTGTTTGATCGTGTGCCCACTTATTTTAGTGAGATTCCGGCAAAAAACGGGTTTTCTCCTGATAAATTCTCGTTCGGTATATTGATTAAAGCATATTGCGAGATGGGCTCGCCTGAAATGGCAATAGAGAAGTTAAGTGAGATGGAGGAGAAGGGGATTGAGGTTACTCCAGTTACTTTTACCACAATTTTACACGGGTTGTACAAGAAGGGAAGGAGTGAGGAGGCCGAGAGGTTTTGGGATGAGAGAGTAACGAAAAAGGGTTGTGTTCCTGATGTTGGGGCATATAATGTGAGGCTTATGCACATTCATGGCGGTGAGGTAGAGGGGGTCACGAGGTTAATTGACGAAATGTGTAATGCTGGGATAAAACCGGATGCTATTAGTTATAACTACTTGATGACGTGCTATTGTAAAAATGGTATGATGGATGAAGCAAAGAAGGTATATGATGAGTTGGGGTCTAAATGCTGTAATCCAAATACGACTACTTTCAGGACGTTGGTGTTTCATTTGTGCGAGCAAGGACGATATGTGACAGGGTACAAGGTGTTTAAAGAGAGTGTGAAGTTGCACAAGATTCCGGATTTTAATACTTTGAAGTATTTAGCAGAAGGGCTGGCCAAGAATGGACATACGAACGAGTTGAAAGCAATGATTCGAACTATGAATAAGAAGTTTCCTCCTAATTTGCTGAAGGCTTGGGGGAAGCTTGTGGAGGATCTGGGCTTGGCTCCTATTGACACTAGTAAGGTCGATTCTGGTGAGTCAGAAATGGCCAGTACCTGAGATTTTGTGTCTTGAATTGTTAGACTATTGTACACTTTTGAGCAAGTTAGATTGGATTTTTGGGTAGTCATAAAACTTCAAGATAATGTTTTCTAAGTGCTGTTGCTTACGGCTCAAACTCCGAGGGCTATATGTGGAGCTCATCAAGATTTATAATGCATCTCGTGATATTTAGAACATCAAAAGCGCATATGTACTTTCATTTTTTTATGTTAATGTTGATCTCATCTTTAATTTTAAGCATGTGTACTTTCATCCTTTTCTTTTTCTCTTGATTCTTTTTATTTTCTGAATTGTTTAGATCCCATTCAAGGATAAAACACAAGTGTGCAGAAGTTCTATTTTCCCATAAAATAAGAACTGGTTATAAACATGTAGTTGAAGATGAAAATATGTTAACAATAGTGAATTCAGGATTCTAGTTCGTTTTGTAATATGATTAATTCAAAGAAATTGTTTGTTTCATTGTGTTAATAGATAATTATAATTAGTTAAAATCTACTTTAAAAATTACTAGTGCATTTTTTTTTTCTTGAAATAGAGCTTGGTTTAATTAAAGTATAAATAATTAGTCCTCGTGGGAACCATATTCTATTAATCACTTTGTTATTTGTAACTATGCATCCACTTACAAAATAAAATTGACAACAAAACTACTTTCATATTTGATTGTGAACAGGAATGTAAAAAGAACTTGTAGCAGTCATTTTTACTCCACACTTTTTATAAATCCAATTGTGGTTAATTATCACCAGTCTTTAATAATGATTCTCTAATTCTTGAATTAGATAACAATATAAAGTTTGTAGACATAATTGAATTAGAAAGATTTTTCTGAAGTGTTCTAATTATGCACTTGAAATCTTTGCAGGGAACTTTAATTGCAGTTACTAGAATTTACATGTGATAAATAAAGTTAGTTGCCTTCGAATGACCTGAACTCAACTTCAAACGACGATTAGTATAAATTTTACACCCTTCTTTTCATAATCGAATAAGATTTGACTCATATTTTCCAAGGATAAACTTTCATAATTTCAAAATATTTACATCATTAAACCCAAATCTTATCCTAAAGTATTATTACAGTCAAAACTTCATATGTGAAGAACGTCATGAAAATAAGATCATAAGTTTACTTGCATTCAAGTACATCTATTTGCACAAAAAAACTGTAATTTAGGAATTGTAATCTCAGATTTAGCCAACACTGCCTTGCGAATTTACATCATTAAAGCAAAGAACACACGAGAGTTCATCCACTGAATCTAAACATATATTGAGTGACTTGAGAATTTTAAGGTGGATTAAAGAAGTTCGAAGCATTGTTTGGACTTGACCTGCATACAAAGTCGAGAAAGCAGAAGGAAAACACTGAATCTAAACATATATTGAGTGACTTGAGAATTTTTAGGTGGATTAATGAAGTTCGATGCATTGTTTGGACTTGACCTGCATACATAGTCGAGAAAGCAGAAGGAAAAATTATGATCGAATTTAGTTAACTTGATGAATTCACGTGATTATATTTATAATGAACCATACCAGCATAAAATAGAAGTCCATGTACTGTTTATGAAGGGCGGGAAGAGAACCAAAGAACTCAAAGAAGTTACAGTTTCCATAGTTAATGTCGTCAACTGCATAATGATCGTAAGCAGTAACTGTAACCGCTGCAAGATGCAGGGATCTCAAACAAGGTTGTTTTGGAGAACAATTCCAGCCTGATCAGTCTATTAAATCCTTTGAAGGTTGGAGGAGGATTGATCAAACAAGCAGAAAGTTTTAAATGTTTCAACTGTAAATACATAAATAGTGAAGAAGGAATTTTGTATCCCAGACTGATTTCGAAGATGAATTCTTCAACACCATAATTTGATATGACATTAATCACGTGGTTAATATTTGAACAGCCCTCAAGCTCCGGAATAACCAGACTAAACTTAGTTATGGGTCCTTGGTGACGTAAAAGAACCTCGAATTCTTGCAATCTCTCTGTTTCTTGCCACAATGTAACATCAAATATCAGATGAAGTAGTTTAACCCATTTATACCTCTATTGTTTTGATAAGATACTTGTCTTAGCAGCATCACGTGTTGTCAAACACATTAGAATGTCATCACTAGTGTGTTAGATATTAGAAAGTACAAGAGTATTGATCACACCACGTGACATGTGTAACGCATCTCCCTCAACTGTTGGATATTTGAAAACAACATACATAAAACATGATATGCCACATAATGTATATATTGGACACTACCAATCCACCTAGGATGAGTGTTTGCGCGCATCACAGCTGGTTACGTTATTCAATCAGTAGATCCCTAATTGGTTTAGTTAATAATCGTTTTGGATACTTGAAATCTACCAAAAATTGTTGTCCACTTGTAGTCCCTATATATTACAATGTGGAAACTGAGTGCTAACAGTGTAGTTTTTAGTGTGTGTTCTGAGAAATCTGTTGTATATGGGTTAGGCACCATAATTTCTATGCACTTGTGTGGATGGGGTGTTTCTCCTTTGTGGTAAACCATTTCTCGTTTCCGATATTCACTCTCCATAAACCGACAGATGAAAGCATCTGGTCGAACGTCTATGTCCAGACTAAGCCTGAGCTAGGGATTTAATTAATCATGCTTGAGGATCCTGTGGTTGGTACTTGGCAAGTTCATCCAGTTTGAGTTGGTCACTCATGTTATCCCAATTGTCAAGCAACGGCGGCCGAACGATCAGGTCATTAGGAAACAGAGTTGTGTGCCCTTGCAATAAGCTATTCGAACAACTATCACTTAAGGTAAATTGCTTACAAATACGATGTGTCCTACAGGTCGATTTCTTGTACATATAGTACTAATGCATTCCGAGAAGATTAAGAAATGGAACGAAAAGCAAAATACCATCAATTTAATAGAGGCAACAAAGACACGTGACAATATCAATTGTATTGTCCAATTTTTGTCTCGTCTTGGCATCTGATGGCATGTTTAGCACTTTCCATGATCAAGACTAAGGAGCAAAGACATTTTTTGTCTAATCCAACATACCAAATATGTAATATATACTAAGTTATGCTAGAATGACATTCCAAATCATGACACAGATATTAAACAAGACACTA